CCGACCTGCACACCGGCAAGAAAGGTGGTTTGCAAAGCTTGATCCACAGACCCACTGCACTGCCCTGGGACCTTCAGTCAGAACAGAGTTCTTGTTGATTCCAAATGCTGGGTATCAGGGAGAAATATGCATTTTAAGAAGCCCTCAGTGTGGATCTGAGCACATTTAAGTTCAATAACCACTGGTTTGTGCCGATCCCCTGTGCCAGCAGAGAGCTTTACTGTTTAGACTATGTCTGGTAATCTTTACAACAGCCCAAGTCAACAACTTTAAGATACCATCATTCTGAAGAGTTAAAAGTCAGTGTGAAATCAGAGACAGAGGTGAGGGATAGATAGAGATAAGGAGGGAAATTAGGCTAGATATCTCTAAAGGGAGGCTCAGAGAGGTGACGCAACTGCCTAAGGTCACAAGTCACCTGGCTGAGCCAGGACTACAAGTTCCCTTCCCCCATTATTCCATCCTCCTTCAGGAAGAGAGAACTTGTTTGGAAGGAGAAGCCAATGGCTTCCCAGCTGTATTATACAGACTCTTTCATTAAAGCTCAGGCTTCCATCCCGTCTGGAGTGCAGCAAAGTGGCTGCCATAAACCTGCAATTGCAGCGTCTCCCCTGACTGTGATGAACGCGTGTCCCTGAGCCCCACCTCCAGCCCGGAGCAGACCAGCGCTTCACTGCTCATCTTTCCCCATCTCCTGGCTACTGAGCTACTACCCCCAGGGCAGGCAGACAGCAAACTTGAAGGCTTCAATAATACTTGTTCAATTACTACATTGTGTAGTTTTTATTTTTAAATGATCCATTTTCCTCTTAAGCCATGTCCCTTTCGTCCAGGGCATGCATAGCCACATATCCCAGCATCCTCTATAAATAAGCATGATGATTGAAAGACACGCATATGCACTGACTTTGGCCGGGGTTGGAAGGCATCTTGGAAGACCATTTGGGTCTGGCTCTGTTGGAAGACACAGAAACCCAGAGTTGTTTTGTTCACTAAAACTCAGGAAATCAATTAGTTTTTGGTATTTAGAAATCCCTTTAATATGTTAAACCAGTCTGACCTAAGATCTTTTTAGCTTAAGGTGGCACAGTGCTTTGTTTTAAAAAAATTACCCAGTCTTAGCAATGACTTTAACAGAAATGAAATATATGAATGAGATCTCGGTACTGTCCTTATTTCAGATCATAGCATAAAAGGTTCCTCTGGAAACGGTTCAAGGCCTCCTGACTAGAGAGCACCAGAGTCAGGACTCAAACATGGTCCTGCTGACTTCAGCCCTCCCCATCCCAGGAGCCCCGAATAGAGTGAGGCTTTCTGGGCGAAGGAGAGAACACAGTCCCCCAGGAGGGTGCCTGTTTGAAAGCCTGGTGTCTGGAAAAGAACATGCGAAGCTAAATCCAAGGGCAAAACTAGGGCTCAAAGGCCCTGACAGAGGAGAAGGGGAAAGACCCTGCAACAAACCCTGGAATGGTGTCCCAGACTTGGCTTTAAAGAATCACCTTCAAATACAAACTAGATTAAGTGAAAGTGGGACTTAGTGGCTTCTCAGCTAGTGAGTCCGCAGGAGAAGCTCAGGCTTGGTTGGCTCAGTCTGGGCTGTGAGGCGTCTCAGTTTCTCTCTCTTCCCCTCTCTGCCCTTCCCCATGCCTGAGTTCTTCTGTGACGGCTTCATTCTCAAGCAGGCTCCGGTCCCCTGGAATGTTGCCGGCAGCTCAGGACTCTTGTCCGAGCAGTTACCTCCCTCCCGGAACAAGCTGCTGCCCAACGGCACTGTCCTGGAACCGAGTCTCGCCGGCCTGGCCCGCGGATCCTCCCCTGGGGCTTTCCGGCCAGGCTTTGGTCACATGCCCACAGCTGGCAGGGAGTGTGGGCACAAGCCTCATCCAAACCAATCCCAAAGGAATTTCCAGAAGGGAGAAAGTGCTGAGCAAAAAGGTGTGGCTCCCGTCCAGACACGCTGTACCCAGATTTTAAAGTCCTTGACCTGCAGGGACAATGACCTTGGGCCACGCTGGAAAGTGGCTCTCTGAGGGGCATCTGGGAAGGGGTGTGGCTGGGCAGTGACCTGGCTGTGCTGCTGGCTGCCAGGAAAGGGGGCTGCCCTGGGCACCTACAGGAGGAGCTCGCTGGGGTGGTTTCTTGATACTTTGTGCATCTTCCCTTCCAGACGAACCTCACATCATCCTGTCACACCCCATCACTACCACCCTCCCCCGTCTGGGGCGACCTTCTTGCCTGGCTCCCTCTGCACACATCCTCCGGCCTCTATGGGGTGTTACCTGGGGATCACCCCCCTGCCACTGTCTACACAGCCTCGGTCATGTTTATTAGCTTCTCTCAGCTTTAGTGTCTGCATTACGAAGCTAGCTTCCGTAAAAGGAATCGCACGGTGACGTCATGAGGATCACATTTGTTGAAGGGCGTGACTCACCCTCGCGTTGTGCTCTCTGAACACCATCCTAACTGTGCCCTCACAGAACCAGAGCCTTGGCACCGCTCTCCCCCGGTGGGGTGTCAGGTCTCTGGCAGGATGACATCCCCTGGCCCGCTGCGGTGATTTGGGACCATGGGACTTGCTCTGGGCAATAACTGTGGGTGGACGTCCTGGGGGTCCCTTTTGGGCTGGAGTGCTCCAGTGCCAATGAAAGGCCCGCTGAGGCGCTTTTATGCTCATCCACAATGAGTGCCGATGTTCCAGATGCTGTCTGCTCCGTCAGCTGGCTTCCGCAGTGAGGGTGACGCAGGAGAGGGCCCCCACTGACCTCCAGTGGACACGCAGCACAAGTGAGAAATAGACTCTTGTTTCATGGGACTGAGATTCTGGGGATGTTTGTTACTGCAGCAAAGCTTAGCCATGCTGGCTGGTACACAGAGGTCACCAGAGATTCCCTGCCTTCCTTACCCTGCATTAATGTAGTAAGTGCCCTAGGGGCACATCCCAGGATGCTGCAAGCCTTGTCCAGGCAAAGAGTGCCTGCTCTTTATTGACCCTTTTTATTGAAGTCTGGGTGGGAAGGGCCACCCTCAAGTTTGAACTGGTTCTGAGCTCTGAGGCTCAGTCTCGAATCGGCACTGACGGGACAGGCAATGGAGGTGATGGCGTCCAGGAAGCCACAAGTCAGAAATTTCTCCTAGTGACGATGGAGGAACCGAAGTCCTTACACTCTTTGCTGGTGACCCACATGTCCTTGAAGGTAGAGAGTGAGCACAGGATGGAGCCACCCACCCAGGCACCGTACGTGGCACAGGACTGGTGGACACCTGGATGGGGTGGAGGAGGCAGAGCGGAGGAGAGCGGGGCGGGGAGTGGGGAGGGAGGCAGGGGAAGAGAAAGAAGCCAGCATCGAGCTGCTGCTCTACGGAGGGGACGCAGAGTGCCAACCCCAGCATGAGCTTCAGGCACACTCATTTCTTTCCCCAGAAAATACAATTTCCTCTCACCTTTGAAGACACTTAAGGCCCATGTCTTACTGCCCATGGTTTTAAACGATAGGGAGAAAGGGGCGGGAGCAAAGAGGACTTGCCCTCGGCTCTTAGATTCGCTCTAAAAAGATGACATGTTTTACACTTACACCAAGTCTATGTGGAAGGAAAACACAAGTAAGGAAAAGCCCCCCAAGTCATCGGACAGCCCAGCGAAAGCGCTCCGCGCCCTCTACACAGTCTCCAGACATTCTCTCGCTCCCCCTCTTACACGGACCTCCTTCACTTTCAATCCACTTCACTGGTAAGAGAGCAGGTTTCTTATCCAGGTCAGGTGCCCTCTGGGCTGGGAGGAGGGCACCAGCTCCACACCCGTGTGCCACACGGGTCACTGAGGCTCAGGGACAACTACACCCGCAGGGGTCAGACGGTCGTCATCTGCGTGGTTCGCTGGTTTCCCTATCATAACAGCACATGCCCATTACCCTAGACCAGGAAGGCAGCCGCACCGCTGCAGGGGTCTGCAGGGCCAGCAGGAGGAGGAGGGCCTGGAGACCCCCGGCCGGGGGCGCTGGAGGAGGGTCAGCACCCCCAGGTCGGACGCTCCCTGACTGTTGCCCCATAGAACTAGGCGTGGTGGGGGAGCCATTTGACGGTATTGCTTAAAAGAAGAAATAATGCTGTCATTTTAAGGATAAAAAAGACAAGGAAAAGAGTCAGAAAGGGGAACAAAAAGTACATTCAAGGTCAGGCAGGAAAAGAGCCGATTCCAGTGCGCGGGGCCCTCCACGCTCTTTCCTTCCAGCAACAGGTGTCACCTACCCCCGAGTCGCCTACCCCAACCACATCTCATCCAAACACACTAAACAAAAATGTGCACGAAACTGGGATGATTTATGCAGTTGGGAGAAAGCAGAAGTACCAACAGAGAAATGGCCTCTTCCCCACACACCCACCCAGCACCGTGCCTCGTCTTTCCTGCATTTTCTCGAGTGCCACCTGCCCGAGGAGACCGCCCAGACCACTCCCCCCCACCTTCCCTCGCTGCTTCCCCCAGGTGGGGTGTCTGACGGCCCCTCTAACACACGGACTTCCACCGCCCACCCCAGAACGCAAGCTCCGGGGGTTTTTGTCACTTTCGTTTTCTGGTCCCCAAGCACCATGCACGTCAGAGGCATTCCAGAAATACCTAAGGAGCAAACTTGGGAAGCCCCCAAAGGGTGGGTTGGGAGGGCCATACCTTCACATTAATTGTAGGGGAAACCAGGGCAGATATTTCTTTCTGCATCCGGAACTGCAAGCCGGAACAGGAACCAGTACCCGCCAGACAACACAATGTGGCCGAAGAGACTCTCCCGGAGAGCAGGGTTGCTCGGCCCGTGCTCTGGAGGGCTGTCATGTGGGCACCTAGGCTGGTCCTCCCTGTCAGGGCGGGCAGAGGAGGAAAGGGAGCTCTGGGGCCAGAGGCTGGGCTGGCTGTGCACACCGGGGCTCCCCCTTCCTGCTGAAGGCACTTGGGGTGCCCAAGTCTCAGGCAGCTCTGAGTGCGGCGGGGGCAAATGGCACCACAGGCCACAAGGCCCTGCAGGTTTGGGAAAGACATGTATGTGAACTGCCCAGGCACAACCGCTAACGACTGACAAGCAAATAGTAGTTCTCCTCTCTCATCCAAGAGAATTTCTATTCAAGTGCTATTGACAGCTACTGATTTGTCACACTTTGGTATCCACGACTTTATGCAAGGGTCTCTGTAAAGGCAGCGCCCTTGCTCAGGTAACCTTCAGAAAATTACACTGATTGTTCCTTTCTTTCTGAAGTTGGTACTTATTTTTTACTGAGGTGTAATTGATGCACAACATGTCAGTTTCAGTCACCCAGTAGGATGAATCAGTATTTGTCTATACTGTGAAATGACCACAGCAGATCTAGGTAACATCTTCTCTTGACTCATCACTTGTCCATATAAATAAATACAAACATGATGAGCACAGCCCTTGAAAGACAGGTGAGTCATATTACTGCATGTGCAATAGTGTGGGCTTCTGGAGGGCGGGGTGGCGCTGCTGGAACCTCACGCCCCCCCTCTGCGGGAGCACCCACTGCACAACCTCGAAACAAAGGCTCATTGGCAGGCATCGTCAGGACACGCCTGGCCCCGTGAGGGTATGCAGCGAACTGCCCCTCTCGGCGTGACCGTGGCTGTGCTGGCACTCCCTGCCATCCACCAGGCCCAGGGGAGAACTTTAACACGTGGGTAAAGGACTTCAGCCAAGGACTTCTTCATTTGTCCACTTAATGCCTGGGGGGCACGGGCCATGTTGGAAGCCTTCAGCCCTGAGCAGTCTAACGGGGAAAGCAGACACCCCAGCTCGCTTACACTGACGTACATGCCATGGCTCACCAGGCACGCGTCCTGGGAAAGTGGCTAGTTCTCTTTTATTCCCTTCTGTCCCCTTATGAATGTGACCAGTTATTTTAAAACTGCTACCAAGAAATAATTGGTTTTCATGACTTCCACTGATGGATTTTCTCAATCAATGGGAATTTTCTGATCCATCATTTTTCCTGTTCTGCCTGCCAAGAGCTTAGTCAACTCGGTGCTCTTTTAAAATCTCTAGGCCAGATGTATGAAGTTCCCTCCAAATTACAGATTTTGCTTCTCTGCTTTACTTATCTTGATTGGTATATTTCAATTATTTTGTCAAGTAGGTGGAGAATAAATAAGACATTGTGAAAGAGAAGGCTTGCAGCCCCGGGTAGCGCTTAATCCTATTGAACAAATGATTCACACCCCCCACCCAGGAGGTCTCCTCAGCTAAAATGGAAAAATGGGGGAGATGAAAGGAGGATTAAAGGTACAACCCATGTACAATGAATGGTCAGCAACATGACAGGCACATAGTAGGGGCTTAATAAGTGGTAGTTGGTATCAGGCACTTTTGAAACAAGGTGCCAATTTGTTTCTTAAAACAGAATCTCCTGCTGGCGACCCCAGCTCCTTCCTCCTTCCCCCTCACCGCGTGCACAGCCGCCTTAGGTCTGGGCTCACCTCTGTTCCCTTCGCAGGGCTCACCGATCAGGTTTGTCTGGAAAAGCCCTTCAGGGCGGAGGAATCTCTTCTGCCCAACGTTGATCTCCTGGCCATCAGGCAGCCGATATTTCTGGGCATAGGAAGGCAAGTCAGCTTCCTCTTTCTCCTTGTTCAAATCCACAGCCACCGAGCAGCGTTTCTCTTTCATGTCCCGGAGGCACCCCCGGTCAGCTGTGGGAGAAAGGAAAAGGGCCAGACAGAAGAGAGCTCGGGTGTGACCTGAGCTCACAGAAGCGTTTCATTCTCTAACATCATCTTTCTGAAGGGGCAGCTCCTTGAAGTGGGGCCGAGGCAGCGTCAAGGAGCTGCCCCTTCGGCTTCACCTCACCTGCCAGGACCTCTTCCTCTGTAGTGAGTGCTGGGCCAGGTTCCAGAGGGTGGGATAGGGGGTATCCTGGACTAAAACACAAACATTTGAAAAATGTCTGCATTTTATGAGTTGATACCTTTATATAAATGATGTGTGTTTCTAGGGGACTGGAAAATCAAATTCAATTTTATTCTCTCTTAAAATAGGAGGTGCTGCTGGGCCCCCCACCCCCACCTGCTCTAAGTGCCGGCTACAAACAGCTCATGGCTGCCCCCTCCCCTGGAGAATTGCCCAGGCCGGACCCGCCTCCTGGACATACCTGGAAGGTCACATCCCTTCCATCTTCAGGGTGCCTGACAGTAGGCGGTAAGACCCAGCCATGTCCTTTGGCGTCACGGTTTTACGTTCACCTATGTTATGTTTGAGTTTGGGTCAGAGTTCCCTGCACTCGCTCGCCTGGAATTCCTCTGGTCCCTGAGTCCCCTGACGTCGACTCCCACCGTCTGCCACTCCCCCACCTGCTCTTGCCTGGGTTAATCATGGCTCCCTCGTTCCGAACCCTGCCGCACGCTTCAGACTTTTTCTGACTTCTTTCTCTCCAGCAGCTGATGCTGTTACCCATTCCCTTCTCTTTCCTGGGCTTCTGGGAAACTGCATCTCTGATATTTTCCCCTTCCTCACCCAGGCTGGGCTTTGGCGAGACAACTCTAGGCCCAAACCACACCTCTGCCGTTGACCAAACGCCTGGCTTTAGGCAAGTTCATTCTCTCTTCAGCCTGACCTTTCCTCATCTTCAGGAATGGAATTAACCCCACACAGAGGGTTGTTGTAAGAATGAGACGAAATATGCACAGACAGATCTTGCTGAGTGTCAGGTGTCAATAAAATGCCTGCTTTTGTTCCGGCTGACCTCACTTTCCCTGCTTTCCTCTGCTGCTATTCATACTTCATGTGGCTTTGGACACAGACCTCTTGCTTGGGAAGACCAGAAAGCACAATGCAGGGGGTTACAGGTTTGTGGGGAATGGGTGTCATGCGGGTTATACAGGCGGGGAACTTAGTCCAGGAAGGGGCTGAAAAGTGGGACGGGCATGTCCTTGTCTGGAGTCCCTGAGCTCACATGGCAGTTGCTACACTTACTAGTATGGGATGTGGAAGTCCCCTAACCTTCCTAAGCCAATTCTTCTTGCAGTGGAGATAACTGTTCCCTCTCAGGTGCCGGAGCATGAAGCAATGAGAGACATGTGACACGTTTACTTAGCCCAATGGCTTGCACAGGGTAAGTACTCTGTAAATACTGAGCTCACCACCACTACCATCATTGTCACTATCACCACCACCATCATCTTCATTGTCATCACCAACCCAGCAAATGTCCCTAAACATACACAGGATCTTTTAGAGCTTGGATGATAGCCAAGTAGCCTTTGCTTTACAAATTGAGGGCTGGGAGTTGAGCAAGCCAAGAATGACACTACACCCCAAGGACTGGTTCGGACAGAACCTTCCTGGACAGGACCTTATGGGGCAGGACTTTATGGGGCAGACCCTTACAGGACAGATTCAGTGTTATTTTGATGGTGGGACCCAACACAGGGTCACTTGAGTAGATGAAAGGCTCATGCTGTCAGGTACAGCTCCACACCAGAGAAGGCCACTGGGCAAGGCCATGGGGTGCACCTGGGGACAGGGGACAGTGAGCTGCAGCTGTCTCGGGTTAGGCTGTGGATGGCCAGGGGGGTGGCTAGCAAGGTTTCAAGGGATCCCTGTGGACTGGGTTTTTGTGACTGATTTCTCAGGCTCCTGGGCATAGGGGCTCTCCCATTGTCCAGTACTCGGCTTGGGGTCAGTTAGGACAAGTGTATGGTGGCCCTGGAGCATGACAGGCAATAGAGGGGAAGCTGGGGTGTGAGCTTGGCAGTTGCTCAAGAAAAGGACTGACCGGCTTCTGGCAAAGACCTCAACACTGGGCTGAGACAGGGTCTGTAAAAAACAGGGTATCACACACGGCTGGGGGACACCAGTGAGCATGTCACTCACCAGAGGATGACTAGGTGTGACTGGGGTGGCTGTCAGTGAGAGCTAGGGTTCCCCCAGAAAAGTGAGAGCGCACGTCCACACAGAGACAGGGTCATGCCTATGCACAGCGGCCTTAGTCACAGACCCCAAACAGGAAGCCCCCCACATGTGCTTTTGTGGGGAAGGGCCCCGCAGTGGGACCTGTGGAAGCAGGCGCCATCATGAAGGACATAGGGATGGGCATGGCAGGGATTGGAGGAGGCAGGGCCCAGACTCTAGGTGGCAGGCCAGCCCTGTGATCCGACTACAGACCCCTCCCCCTAAAAACAGAGACAAAATCCAACCCCAGCCCCCCTGGCCTGGCATGTGGCCAGAGTCACAGAGCTTGGAAGGGTCTCCGGGGTTCCTGTGATCAAACTCCCACTTCACAGATGGGAAAGCAGAGACCTGCTGAATGCCAGCACCTGCTGGGCCCTGTGACAAGCACTTTAGGCATTAACGCATTTTGTTTCCATGATGACCCCCAGGGTGATACAGGGATCATCCTTCTGATGAGAAAAACAAAACTGTGCAGGGGCAGGTCATCCACCTGGGGTCACACGTGCTGGGAAAGCCGGGCTGTTCCCTGTACACTGGGCTGCTCTGCCCTTCCCAGTCTGTTCCACCCTGGAGGAGCCCTGCAGGTTGGCACCTGGACCGAGGGGCGCTGGCAGGGATGGGGCCAGGGCATGATGGGGGGTCACAGCAGAGCCTCTGATGCGGAGAAGTCCACCTTCCCACCATGAGGAGGCATTCCTTCCATGCTGCCTTCCATTTCCTGAAGAAGTTTCTGCTTTTCTCCACCATTCCCTGGCTAGGCAGTAGCCACAGATCCCCTTTCCCTGAGGGACCCACCGGTCCTGCCCACGAGCAGCCCAGACGGAGCTCAGAGGGAGGCGGGAGAAGGAGATGGAGTTCTGGCGGCCCGCTCCGTCCCTGGTGGTCCCTCCCGGGCCTCCGCGCCTGCCGGTGGCCCTCTCTGGGCCCTGGTGGCCGTGTTCTCCTTCTGGTTTGGGTAGCGGCTCCCATTACTGGCCGGAGCTCTGTACACCACGTGTTGTTTTTCTGAAACTTAAGCTCCCATCTGTATGAATCTCTCCAGGAAAGTCTCACCAAAATGACCCCATGTGGGGGTTCCTTCAGTTTCCTGCTTGGACCCTGGTACTATTAAGGGTGAGTAGAGAGAAAGCCAGGGCAGGCTGAGTGCCCAGGAGGGGCGGGAAGTGCCGGGGACAGGCTGCGTGGCTGCACCATGGTTTGTGTGAGGCCTCATTTTACGTGTCATCTTGACGGGGCCACTGGGGCCCAGACATTCCTATTATTCTGGGTGTGTCTGTGAGGGTACTTTTGGATGAGATTAGCATTTAAATCCACAGACTGGGTAAAGCAGGTACCGCTCCCCAGGGTGGGTGAGCCTCATCCAGTCAGCTGAAGGCCTGAATAGGACAGAAGGCCTGACCCTCCCCAAGTAAGAGGAAAATGCACCTGCCTGATGGCCTCTGGACCGGGACACTGGTTTTCCTGCGTCTGTCCTGGACCTTCTCCCATCACCTCTCCCGGGGACCCAGCCTGCCAAGCCGCCCTTCGGATGCTGGGACTGGTCCACTCCATAATCATGGGAGCTGAGTCCACATATTAAGTCTCTGTGTATCTGTATCTCCTACGGTCCTGTGTCTCCGGAGAGGCCGGGCCAGGACAGTCTGGGAGCAGCACGTTCCCTCCGGCTAAGGGACAGCCGCCTCTCTTATCTTTGCAGCCCGTAGGCCCCGCTGAGCACCTGCTGTCGCACCGCTGTGGGCTCTGTGCCCCTGTCCGCACAGAGCCCAGCTGTGGCCCACCTCTGCCCTACCTGCCCGTGTGCAGGGGACTCATCAGCCCCAACAGGGCTTTGTGTTACCTGAGGCGGCAGCTCACACCTGCGCTGTGATCGATGCTGCTGTGCTCCGGGGCCACGCCGGCAGGCTCCCCCATGTGCTGGTGATGCAGCGAGCTGCCAGGCCTGCCTCCTGGGTCACCGCCCCCTGCAGGAGGCCCCGCGGGGCCCCAGGGACTCTGCGCTCATGGGGGGCCTCGCTGCTTGCTCCATCAGCTCCTCAGTGGCCTCCTCAGGCCTACAGATGTGACAGACCCGGGTGGCCAGGGGCAGCCCCTACAGCCCGCCCCCGTGACCCCACTCCAGCCTTACGGAGGGCCCTGCAGTCTGTACAGGGGGCTGCCCCCCGTCAACCACCATTCTCACCAGCCTGCGCCCTTCACGGGCTCTGAGATCCAGTTTAATCCGGTTCAGTCCCGTCAGCACTCACCACCAACTCCTTCCTGGGGGCCTGCCCAGGGTGGGGCTCAGAAGGAAGAGGTCCCGGGTCAGTCACGGTTAGGTCTCCCAGCAGGACACACCCCACAGCTGTGCTGAGAAGGGGCCACAGGCTAAGACCACCGGGGGCCAGGCCTGCCTACCAACTGCTTGCCCTGTGACCTTAGCCAAGCCACTGCTCCTGGACGCCCCAGTGTCATTTGTGCAAAGGGGCTGATCGTTGCCCCGCCTGCAGAGTGGCTCTC